CTGAAGATAAGCAAAAAATGGAAGGGTGGWAGAGAATAAAGTGGGAAAGATCAGAAGTGCGCATCTATCCGTGGCAACCAAAAAAGGTGAGCCCAGAAGAGAAGAGAGAACAACTAATGAAGGACTACTTCAGGGTCGAACTGCGACATATTCCGGTGGAGGTGCAGGCAGCCTTCGTCTACGACTTCGGGCAGCAGTACAACATAGTAGACTTCATTGACCCGCTCCCGTCCTATGTGGCGAAACGGGATGACTATCTGATGTTGGCATTGGACCTACCCAAGGACCAACCCTTCTCGATTGACGACATCATCCCCTACAGAATGAGTGGTAAGGTATTCCAAATCCACACGGCGCACAAATTCAGGCCATGGTGCTTTAAATGTAGGGCCTACGGACATTTGTGCACGGAGTCAGCCTGCCCCCTCCACCCCAACAAAAGAGGCCCGACGGCGGGCCGTCTACAGCGTGACCCGCGTAGACGCAGCAGATGCGGGCCATGAAGGGTGGGTATTTCTGGAAGATTTGGACGCTGCAGGGCAGCCAAGGGGCTGGACCTGGGAAGGACGGGGAGACCCCGGTTGGACTACCAGACCTCCAAATGACTGGGCCCTACAACCCATGAAGACGTTTAAGCCGCCAGAGAAGGCCCAGCAACCTGAGAAATCCCAGGAAAACAGAGCACAAGACCCCAAGCCACCCCTGCAAGGAAGAGAGAAGCAAATGAAACTGCAACCTGAACAGCCCCAAGAGAAACAAAAACTGAAGTCTTGGGGCCCGCCCACCGCACAGTACCTGCCAATGGGGAGGATACTCGCAAACACTTGAAAAGGAGAGGGGCAACAGGGGGCTGGAAGAGGAGAGGGGCAACAAGGGGTCCCGAGTCTCAAGAATACAACACCGGTCGCAGGGTCCCATCAGCCTGTCTTAGCAGAGAAGGAGCAGGCCCAACATATTGAAACACAATAGGCCCACACGTTGAAAGACCCATTTGAGGAAGCCTTCGACCCCACACCGATGGACATTGAAACTGTTCCCGGCGCACCCCCTCCACCGGATGTGGAGATGGCAGAGGCCCAGGGGGCTGAAACACCTCGGACAACACACGCAGCAGCAACCGGTGCGGAGGGAGAAAACGGCACACGAGGAGTAACTCTGCAAGAGGTAGCTGAATGGCTTATAGAGAACCTTCGGCTGAAATATGGAAATGGAGATGAGGAGTTTTGGGATGATGTATACAGAGAGCTGGTGTCCTTGTTAGAAAGTAGCACAAGTCTACAAAAAACCCTCACACAGGGCCTGCCGGAGGGGACACATTGGCCGGACATCTGCCATAAGTTGCTACACATTGTGCTGGCCCGCTTTCACCCCACCGCTGATAAACAAGAAGAACAAAAGGCCTCGAAGGGAAAGGACGGCCGTACTGACGCACATAAGGAGAACGACCAGACCGACACAAGCCAAAATCCCCCGCAAACCGGCGACAGCACGGCTGGGGGGGAGGTGAGGACAGATAGGCATAATAATACACTGGCGGAAGAGCAGCAGGGGCACGCGGAGCAGCAACACACAGGGCAAAAGGTGGAACAGGCAGCGGAGCCAGAGGAAGTGAAGCAAGGCCGCTCTGACAATCCGCTGAACCCACCCCAGGATCTGGCCCCTCACACCAGGGGTGCAGAAGCACCGGAGGGACTGTATCTAGCACTGGCGGCCAGGGAACCGGTCACGTCGAGAGTACAGCCTGAATCCCAGGCACCCCCTCCCCCCACCCAAGCCGCCAAAAGCCTCGGTCACCAGCAGAAGACAAAAAGTTCGCCAATTGCTAGAGAAGGCCCCCCTTGAAGTGGCGCCCTCAGATAAGGTCATAACCCTTCTTCTGGTGAAGGAAAAGGACGGGGCATGGGAAATAGGGTTGTCGGTACCCCCAGGAGCAGCGTACGGAGAAGTCTCCCTTCAAGGGCGCTCGTCCTTCTTCCTCTCTCTCACGCCCTGGGCCGACAGCCCGGTCCTTCGTAAACAGGACATATCCCAGTTGATTCAAGGCCATCTCCCGGCAAGGGCCTCCTCTGCAATGGTGATTTCCCACGGACATAACAGACTCGGAATCAAAGACATCTATTTGCGTTACGACAACCCGAGAACTGAAAAGCTGCGCTGGTTAGACCGGGAGGCCCTCCTGGATCTGCAGATTTTAAAGATAAAAGCTGGCGACCTCTGGTCGGCATCAGAAATTGAAACCTTTTTGACAAAACTCCTAATAAAGGATATACTGCAGAAAGGTGGTATCTTGGACACGGAGACGTGGCTGCCACTCTAAAAAAAAAAAACCATCATGCACAACCAGTATAAAGGAGAACCGTACACAGGGGTAAAAAAAAAAAAAGGGAAGATATGATAAACGTAGTAGATGCGTTGTACGGCAGGGACACTACCTGGAAACTTTGTAAACGGCAAGCAGACTTGGATCTGCGCTCACTTAACATAAACGGTCTGGCCTCAGCAAAATACCGCAAAAGACAAGCAATTTTGGAACAATTAAGAGGAGTAGAGGGAAGGGACTGGCCAGACATAGTATGCCTACAGGAAACCCACCTGATGGATAACCCGGAACACAATCACACACACAAGGAGATATGGCCATATCAGGCATTCCGCGCCCATGCCCCGCGACCCGGGAGTGGAGGAGTTGCTATATGGCTTCCCCCGGGGTCCAAAGTGGAAATGCTCAACTGGGCGGCAGACCGAGAGGGCAGATGGGTCTACCTGTTGGCGATGCTAGAATTGGAAGTGGTGAGCATTCTGAATATCTACGCCCCTAATGCCCCCGAGGCAAGACAAACCTTTCTTGAGTCCCTAAAAGATATAGTGCCGGTCCGCATTCCCACGATTTGGGTGGGGGATTTTAATGCGGCTCCGGACCGCTGGTTGGATAGATGGAAAATACCATCATCCTGCCCGAACTACATGGAAAATGATGAAAGAATAATCGCCGACCTCACACAATCCCTCAAGCTTTTTGATACTTTTCGGAAGACTCACCCTACCGCGCGACGTTTTTACGTGCTTCCGTAAGAACGCTACGGAAAGAGCATCGAAATCACGCATAGATTTGATACTAATCTCGGAAGAGCTGCAAGGGGCCCTCCAAATAGCAGAGATATTCCCTAGCAGCCCCCACCCGGGCCTGGACCACGCAATGTGCCTTGCCGTCCTTTCGTTCAGAAAAAAAAAACAGATCAAGGAAAGAGCTTTTACAAGCTCAATACATCCCACTTATCCAACGACCTGTTTACTGCCGACCTGAAGGACGTGTGGTCCTTTTGGAAAGGGCAGAAGGACCAGATTAGTAATGACATACTGTGGTTCAACAACGGCCTTGCTTTTCTCGGCCGCATTTGTAATGAGTACTCTAAGTTACTCGTGGCGCGCCGTCACGCCGACGAGGTTGAGCTTCAACACAGACTACAACAATTGCAATCACAAGAATTAGACGCTGACGACCTAGAACAGCAAGCTGAGACAGCTAGGACCATCCAGACTCTAGCCGATCAACTTAGGCACCACACGGAACACAGGTGGCAAGGAGTCAGGATCTGAGGCAAACTATCTAGATATAATAAGGAGGGCGCAATGGATGCAAGATTTTTTGCGATGGCCAAGGCACAAACAGGGAGGACGGTAATTGAGGCCTGGTAAGACCCAAAACGCCACCAAGGGTTCCTCCATACATCTACTGCAGCGTGCACGAAAATAGCGAGAGATTTTTACCAGACATTATTCACTTCAGAATGCCGGGACCGGGATAGAGTTGTGCCGGACCCGCCGGGATGGCGGTCCGACAGGATGGAGAAGAAGGGTGGCCGAAGGAGGAGATAGAGATGGAGCTGGAAGGGACAGCGCAGCTCCGACGCAGACTCCACACACACGTACTCCAAAATCTGCGAAAGTGAAGAATACCGAAAAACAAACAACTGCGGGGGTATACCCCCAGCGGACTGACTGACTGGAATGGACTGGACTGGTACCGACAGTGGTACCGGGCAAGACTAGAACAACACACGGCCTGTGGGGTCAGGCCACAGCCTGGTCCCACAGGCCGAACTGGGCAAATAGCCAAATAGGCCCTGGATGTAGGCCAGGGCAGATGAAGGCCCGCTGCACGATCCTCAGACCTGTAATGGATCGCAAGAACCATAAACACGCTATCCGCAAAAGCAGCGGAACTCTGTAATAAAGAAAGCTGAGAAATCTAGGATGCGGAGCAAGCTCCATGCGGAGTCCATGCGATGCATCCTAAGCTACATAATGTCAAAAGAAAGCAAATGTCTGGTATCCATATCCTAGCTAACAGCAGAAAATGAAATGTAGTATGATACAATCCTAAAGTCCTGGAGGCAGTGGCCTCAGTGCTGAAAGGAAAAGAGCAATATGTCACAAGATAATGTAATGTCGCTGAACCACTAAGAGTGGGATGGTCTCAGAGGGGGTGAATGCAGCCTAAGAATCGAAACTCCTAAGGGCAGTCACACATGAAGGTGGGATAGGTCATCAGGCTCAAGGTGGAAGAGTGGTAGCAAAACAAAACCAATGACCCTAACAGATAGACCATCAAGGCGGGTAATGCTCGACAAAAGGGTGACACCATGCAGGGTCGACCATGAAAAGAGGAGCCTGGAATAGGGTGGAGCTATGCCGAACTGGAGGCATGCAATAATCGGCGCTAGGGTGATGAGGACAGTGGGTGAGGGAAACATGCACACAACTCACCGACTGGGAGAGGAAGCTAGATCTGGGAGCAAGGAAGCCAAGATAACGCTACGGTCCCAATGCCTATGCGATACCAAGGGAGAGCCAAACTCAAAGAGACCCAGCTAAGTGAGAACCATCATGCGACAGAGGCAAGGGAGTATGCAGGGTAGGGTGGTGACGTGAAGTAGTCACGTCCAAAGTAGCTGAAGTCRTCGAAGTGGTCGATGACGTCGATGAAGTAGCAGTGGAGTCGATGTCGAAGCAGAGCCGCAAAACGCCGACATCCTGAAGAAGAGATGATGATGGAGTACCTGATGGTGTGAGTTAGTGGGGAAAGATAGAGGATAAAAGTGTCAGTCATCGTAACGCGAACGGCGACGATGAGTGCGTTGTGGATGAGGCGACCGTCTGCGGCTGAGGAACGGCCTCAGAGGGAGCGGGCTCGTCCTCAGCAATCTCCTCAGCCGGAGGAGGAGGAAGAGGGTCAGTCAGCTGAGTAGAAGCAGATGTCTCAGCACGACGAGCACGATCGTATGCACGCACCAACATCCTAACGTGCTGCAAGTGCTCGAGGGGCTCCCAAGTAGCCTCCTCATCCGGGTAGCCCTTCCAATGCACAAGGTACTCGATGCGTGGAGGGGTATCGTCGGTAACTCGGCGTGATACGATGTTGGAAACAACGAACTCCTCTTGACCGTCCACCATGTGAGGTGGAGGGCGCTCATAAGGGCATCCGGCGAAGCGCTCGGACAGTCTGCGATAAGGACGCAGCAAGGAGACGTGGTAAACATCGTGTACGCGAGCCTGACGAAGGTAATCAGGTAGCTTCACACGGAAGCTGACCGGACTAGCGGCAGTATCAGAACCGACGGCCTGAAGGATGCGGCATGGACCGACGAAACGACGCCTGAACTTGCGAAGCGTATCTGCTTCGAGTTGTAAGTGGCGTGCGTCGACGAGCACATCGTCACCGACTTTGAATGGATGATCCATTCGTGATCGGTTCGCTCGTGCGGCCATGCGAGTCTGGGAGTCGGCTAAACTCTCGTGTGCGCGCTTCATAATCGCCGCCATGTGGGCGATCCAGTCGTCAAGCGCAGGGCAACGAGTGTCTGGGCGCAACCGCGATGGTCGTAGGAAATCCGCGGGTACGCGAGGATGGTAGCCGAGGTCACAATAGAATGGCGACATCCACATGGCTGGCGAAACAGCGTGGTTGTACGCAATCTCCGTGTGGGCTAAGTGTAAGTCCCACTGTTGGTCATCCCTAACAAACTTTCGGAGGATATTACCGAGAGTTTTGTTGGTGACCTCAGTCTGACCATCCGTCTGAGGGTGGTAAGACGATGAGAAGCGGAGCTGGGATCCGTACACCTCGTGTAGGCGTCGCCAGAATGTGCTGGTAAAGCGCGGGTCACGGTCGGAGATGATGCTCTGAGGTAAGCCGTGATCTCTCACGACTCGGTCGAAAACGATGTCGGCGACCTCACGAGCGCTAATGCGATATCAGCACGAAACAAAACATGCACGCTTCGTGAAGCGATCGACGACGACCAAGATAGCATCATGACCGCGCTCAGTGGGTGGGCGGAGGGGACCAATGAAATCCATCGAGATGGACTGCCAACGACCCTCAGGTATGGGTAGGGGCTGAAGTAACCCATACATAAGGTGGTTCGCACTGTTCACCTCCTGGCAGGTAGGACACTCCTGGATGTAGGCTTTGACAAAGTCTTTGGATTTCGGCCAGACGTATAGGCGGCAAACACGAGCCAACGTCTTGTGGAAACCCATATGACCGACAACTGCCTGGTCATGGAACTCTGCTACAGCCTAGACGCGGAGCTGTCCAGTGGAGGGAACGCAAATACGTGGTTCGAGCTGACCAGATCTGCCATGCCAGTACACAAGGCCGTTCTCCCCGAGGGAGTAGGAAGGAACGGTCTTGCCACTTCGTAGTGTCGCGTGGATGACGCGATAATCAGGGCAGTGACGGTGCTGAGTGCGATACACGTCAATCACCGACTCATCAACAGTGGTGATGGAGATGGCAGCAAGATGGATGGGTTCCTGATTGTGATCAGGACGGCGGGACAAGGCATCGACGACGCGGTTCGTTTCACCCTTGATGGGCTGAGTAGTGAAACTGAACTCGGATAAGTCACGCCACCAACGTATCTGTCAAGGGGAAAGCTTAGGCTTCGTGAGGAAAGCCTGGACAACTGAGTTGTCCGTACGCACCGTGAAGGGTGCCCTGTGCAGATAATGATGCCAATGCCGGGTAGCATAAACTACTGCGAGAACCTCACGTTCATCGGCAGTGTAGTTTATTTCGGCAGGCAGTAGCTGACGGGAGTAGAAAGCGATCGGGCAATCCCCAATACGAGCCTTGACAGTCCCATCCTCCGCGATGGTCGGGGAGTAAGTAATGGGAGGACTGTCAGTGGAGGGAAGTGGTGGGAGGGTAGGCGTCACTCGAGAAGCAGTGTCGGCAGGAAGGGGGGGGAAAGGAGGAACATGGGGGTAAGGTGAATCTGGAGGAGAGGGAAAAACCTGGGAAAGGACAACTCCTACTGCAAAATCTGACGTATCGGTGGTGACGATAAAGAGACGATAAAAATCGGGAAGGCGAAGAACCGGCGCACAGGTCACCGCCTTCTTGAGGGCGCAAAAGGCGTCCTCGCACAGGGGTGTCCAAAACCACGGCGGGTTCTTCCAGGTGAGGGTAGAGGTAAGGACGTAGGAATACCTAGCGTATCCCTGGATAAAATTACTATAGTAGCTGGTGCGGCCTAGGAAACTGCGAAGCTACTTGGCAAATGTGGGGACGGGTCACTCTACAGTAGCAGTGATCTTCGCGTCGTCCATGTGGAGACCCTGGTCAGACACATGGTGTCCTAGGAAGTCCACTTTGCGTTGGGCAAAGCGGCACTTGTTGAGCTTGGCATAAAAGTCATGCTTACGTAAGCGTTGTAGGACATCGCGGAGGTGTCTGAGATGGTCTTCTAAGGTACGACTGTAGACCAGGATGTCGTCCAAGTATACGAGAACGTATTCTTCAAGGATGTCCGTGAAGATGTCGTTTATCGCCGTCTGGAAGGTGGCGGGTGCATTGGTGAGGCTGAATGGCATCACTGTGAACTCGTAGTGGCCGAAGCGCGACCGGAAGGCGGTCTTCGGCTGATCCTCTGCGGCAACGTGGATCTGGTGGTAACCGCTACGAAGATCGATCTTCGTGAAAAACGGTTGCGTGCCAGACGGTCAAACAGCTCATCCGCGCGGGGCATGGGATAACTGTTCTTAACCGTGTAACGGTTAAGGCCGCGGTAGTCGATGCAAAGGCGGAGAGTTCAGTCCGCTTTGCGAGCAAAGAGGACAGGTGCACCCCAAGGGGAGTTACTGGGTTTAATGAAACCCAGTCGAAGGAGTTCCTCAAGCTGACGCTTGAGTTCCGTCGCCTCTGGGATCGAGAGTGGGTATGATGCCTGATGGTGAACAAGATAGTCAGGCACAAGCTGGATGGAATGCTCAACACCGTGCATCGGGGGAATCCCGCTGTATGAGAAATACGGGGGAAAGACGTCATGGTACTCTCGAATCAAGTCGCGAATGGCCGACTCTAAGTCTGTCGTGAACCGTGTGAGTTCCTCAGCGTCTGCGTCGGCACGAGACGTATGTGTGGACTCGACAGTCGACGGCGCAGAAGCCTGGGACGTAGACGGGGTATCCGCAGGCTGACAGGTGGACGTAGAGATGGGAGCCGCAAAGATGGAGGAAGGGTCAGGGGGATCGGGCTCCAAAAAGATGAGCTCAACCTCAGGACAAAGTGGATCATAGCGAAAAAGATCCATGACGGTCACTGAGTAGAACATGACGTCCTCCTGTCGTATGAAGTTAGCAAACTGACGAGGGGAAGTGAAGGCGATGTCGGGGTGAGAGCCTGAGGGACGAGGGTCCCGGGGAGGTAGGTCGGGAGGAGTGTCGCCCGTGGTTCCAATGAAGGGGACGCGATGGGTCTGACCACACTTCGTTTTGAGAACAAGTGTCTCGGTCGCCCATTCGGCCTCTATGCTACGGAACCGGTGAGACTAGGGAGTGCCAAAGATAAAGCCGTACCCAGTCTCCAACACATCGAAGTATGCGGAGGAATGGTAGCTCCGAGGCGCCTGGGTACTATCCGGTGGCTGGAGGGTGTGGGAGAAGTGGAGGTCGGGCACCGTCTGATCGAAGAAGTGTTGTGTCTTGTTATCTTCGAGGGCAACGGAGATAGGAGAGCGGGACCCAGAGGTAGCTAGGCGAGCTTCCTCAACCACTCGAGGGTGAATGAAATCTCCCTGCGAGCCAGAGTCCCATAAAGCGCGGTACACCCTCGTAGATGTCCCTAGGCGAATAGGGATAATGGGTAGGATGCGATCAGGGTCAGAAAGCAGAGCGAGAAGACAACGCAGGACGTTGACGTGTCTCGTGAGTCGGTCCTGACCGGCCTGCAGAATGCTAAAGTCTAGGAGAGATGATACAATGTCATCGTGAGTCGCCAGCTGAGCGCTACAACGGGCGGTGCGAATGGCGCGACGCGTCGGAAGCGCTAGATGCGGCGGTCTGCTGGGAGGCAAGCGATACCTTGACAGACGACGGGGCAGAGAGAACTGCGTCTGTCATGTCCTGAGGATTCTCTGGTGGGATAGCCAAAGGTGCAAACCGCGACTCGGTGGTCGGAAAGCCGGCTACGTGTGAGGCCTCAGGGGTACACTGCACCGTGGCTAGCTGGGTGGGGCTGGCCGGGCGGGGCCGGGGGGCGATTGAGATCGGCGCTGACGAGAAATGTCAGCGTAGTACCGATCGAGGGCGGTGTGGTATGGACACCGTGAGGAGGTGTGTCCATCCTGGCGGCAACGAAGGCAGCCGCGTCGGGCGTCGAGGGCGGCACGCTCCTCGGGGGATAGAGCTCCGCGAGGAGGGACAAAACCCTGCGGGAGGTCTATCTGAGGAACTGTGGGTGTACGGGCGCCAGCCTGTGCAACCCGACTGCGTGCACGACCCATGGAAGACATGACCATCTGCAGGCGCTCGGCCATTAGGACAGTGTCGTCATCCAAGTGGTACTGGATGACGTCCCGAAGCTCGATGTCCTCGGGGGCGTCCCCGATGGTAGGATCGAGCTCGGTTGAGGCGTCCTCTCCATACTTGAGAGAACTGTAGTGCCAAGAGAATGACGCTCCTGGTCGAGCCGGGCGACGAAAACGACCAGCAAACTGGGAGCGGCCTCTGGTGGTACCACGAGGCTGGGAGGTGGCGGCTGGCCGCGAGGAGGATTGGGCGACAGAGAAGCGACTGCACATCCTCTGGTACTGACGCGCAGCCTCGTATGCCTGCTCCGCGGAAGAGAATGATCGCCTCCATAGATCTAGGCGGTAGTCAGTCGGCAGGCTGACAAGGAACCGGTCGGTGAGTGTGACCTCCGGTAGAAACGTCTCGTCACAGACAAGGCGAGCGTCCTGAAACACCCGAATGTGACGCTCCAGGTCGGCCGGTACGGAGGACCCAGACCATCTGGTCTGGGTGACGTGGTCTAAGGCGTCGGTGGCGTCATGACGAGCGCCGAAGCGGTCCTGAAGGAAGACCGCGAAGTCGGCCAGAGTGGGAACCTCACCCACGCGGAGGCGCTGGGTATAATGATCCTCCCACGTAGTGGAAGGGCTACCTCGCAATTTGGTTACGAGCACATCGCACCACAACTCCTCACGGGTAGTCCTCATAGAGAGTGTACGTGTTGCTATCTGCAACCAGCAAGAGACACAGGATGTGCCATCATACTCGGGAATGTCCGTGGTGCGCACAAGAGGATCTCCACTGTGTTGATGGCAGGGGGAGAGAGATCGAAGCGAGTGCACTGCGGCGGCGTAAGTCGAGGCCGCTGCAGGAGCAGAGGTGGGGGAAGGCTATGGGCCGTGGCCGCTGGCTGATGGACCAGCAGACGAGGAGGCAACGACCGCGGGCAGCTGTCCCGGAATAGCCAGGTAAGAGGGAAAAGGCTAAGAAGCAGGTCGAGGGAAACGAGCCTGCATCATGGGGACCGAAGGGGTGGTCGAGGAGGAAGGGTGGGTAGCCTGTGATGGGTGAGGCTGTCTGAGAGCGAGAATCTCCGCCTGAGTCTGCGCAATGGTGGCCTGTAAAGTGGCCACTCGCTGGGTGCGCGGAGTCGGAGGTGGAGGGGACGAAGCGGGTCTCCCAGTGGGAGGAGGAATCTCGGCCTGAGCGACACCCTGCTGTGGAGGTGGGGGGACGAAGGCAGGAAGAAGAAGGCGGAGCCGTATTGCCGCGACCGGTGCGGGAAGCTGGGAAGCAACACCGGTGTGGGTCGATGAAACTGCTGGGCCAGAAGGCGGTACCTGGACCGCAGCACCTAGGGCAGTGGTAGAGACGGTAGGGGCAGCCGTGGCCGGAAGAATTGCCGCAACAGACGGGGTGGTCTGAGCGGCAGCAGCACTCGTCACCGCTGAGGGGGAGTGTTGGGCCTGGCCCGCAGAGGAGGGGGAACCATGGTGACTCCGTCTCCGGAGTCCTGAGGAGCGGGAATCGGAGCCGGTAGGGGATGGGGTGTGGGAGCGGTGGGAAGAGCGATGAGGGGAGCGCTTGAGGCGGTTGACGTCGAGGGCAAGCTCATTGATTTGTGCTTGCAACGGTCCAAGCGTACTGAGTTGCGCCTGGATTGCTACAAGGGCGGCATGAAGGTCCATGGTGTCCACATGGGCCTGACCAGGAATCGCAGACTGCGCGGTGACCTAAGATGTGGACTGCGCCGTGACGATCTCCTCAGGTTTAGCGCTCTCCGTGGGCAGTTGGGGGAGAGAAGTAGACAAGGTGGGAGGTGGGGGGAGATATGGGTTGTGGTATGGGGACAGAGGACCACCGGTGAGAGGGAGGGGACCGCGAGAGCGGAGTGGGTAGTCGTGGGTCGGCTCGCCCCGTGACCAGCGGGTCGCGCGTGAGATGGTGGCGCGAATCCGATCGAGGGGGAAGGAGCCGTTCGGGTTCAGGGTGCCCGACGAGAGGGGGTAGAGAGTAGGGGGTTTAGGGTTTCCCTAGAGAAACCCTAAGGAAACCCTAACCGGAGTTTAGGTGGTTAGGGGAAGGTAGCGGCAACCTAATCAAGAAAAAAAAATAATAATTATGGAGGGGAGGGAGAATAGAGTAAGCAGTGGATTTTCGAGATAAAAATAAAATAAAAAAATAAATAGAAATAAATAAATAAATAAAATATAAAGAGTGAGGAGAGAGAGAATATTTATTTTTTTGGAATTTTCGGCAGCATTTTCCCACCCTGCATGGGATCAACAATGTGCCAAGAGGAAAGAAAGTGCAAGAGGGACACACTAACTTTCAAAATGCCGCAAACTAAAATTTTCAGAAAAAATAAATGAGTCAATAAATAAATAAATAAGGAGGTGGAAGAGAGTGAAGAGAAGCTAAGTTTTGGAATTTTTCAAAAATTTATGCAGCATTTCGTTACCCCCATGGGGTCGAAGTGTGCCGTCAAGAAAAAGACGAAGTAGAATGGAAAAATTTGGCCAGCGCTTCGCTACCCCCAAGGGGTCAAAATGTGCGCCGACAACAAGGAAAGACTAAGTCCTAGCAAGATACAAAGGTGCCGCAGAAAATTTTGAATTTTCAAAAAAATAAAATAAAAAATATCAGAGAATAAGAAAAGAGGTAGGGAATAAGATGATTCAGATTTTTGGAGGAAAAGAAAAAATTTACATCAAAGAGAAAGAGAAAAGAAGAAAAACAGAAAAATTCGGAGTTGGGTATGGGGGGGGATGGAAAAGTGATGAAGAAAGAGAGAAAGAAGTGAGAAGAGAAAGAAAAAGGTGGAGAGGAGTAGATGAGATTAGTGAGAAATGGTGAGTGGGGAGGAGAGGAGAGAAAAAGGTTGTGGAAGATGGGTGGAGAGGGAGGGAGGAGTAAAGAGTAATGGTAGGAGGGAGAAAAGGTGATTAGATGATGGGGGAAGAGAGAAAGGGGTTGGGGGGTAGTAGGTTAATGGTAGGAGGGTGATACCAGGCTCTTGGGTGGCCAAGAGCAGGGTTCTACCAAGATCCACAGGATCTTGGCCTTCAAAGTGCTGGTGGCCTGATGCCACAGCAAAACAAAAAGAGATGATGATGATCTAGGGTTGGCTGAGATCTTGATCAACCACCCTAGTGCCACAGTCACACAGCCCCCTAGCCAGGGGGAGTCTTGAGCAATTGCCACACTGTTGCTGCAACAGTGAGTAGTAGTAAAATATATATATATATATGTCTGTGGCGCAGCCCCCTAGCCAGGGGGGTCTTCAACAGGTATCCACGTGGCAGTGCAGATTGCCACGTCTGCAGGCA